TGGTCTAAGATTTGCTTCAAAATAATCCAACTTTTGCTTCAAAATAATGGGATGCAGGAGGGAAAAAAGGCAAAACTGAACTGGCCTTGTCAAATGAGCTGATGGCACGTGGGGACGCTTTATGGCACTATCACTACTTATGTGTATGTTTGAACCTTTCAACATGAAAGTTGAAAACAGAAGAGGAGCTCAGGAAGCGCCTCCCCTCTGCTAGGCCAACTGTGCATGCGTACAGCAGCTGTACCTGTGCTGTGCCTGTGCTAAGAGCTCCAGGGGGCAACACACACAGCCTGAGATGCCTGAGACTCCGGCTCCGAGCTACTGGCAGATCCCGGAAACTTCCTATGTCAGGACCCGTCATCATGCAGAATGACACATTTCCCCACTGCTCTAATGATTCTCAGTTGGGCTTTCAGTCACTTGTAACCAAAAGAATCCTAGCCCACACACACTGTGCACCTGTGGCCCCCTCTGAAAGGCTTCCCTGCTCTGAGTCACTGCACTCAGACCACTAAGGAAACGAACACTTGCCGAGTTAATTTTAAACACCAAATCCAGTCTATGTTAGCCGCTGCCCGAAGAGCTGAGAGGATTCTCCGCACACTGGCTGTATGGAAATGAAGAGCTGGAGGCTGACCACTAGATCAGGCGCCTGAGGGCAGAGACAACGCTGATACAACAGTGTCCCCTCTGGTCTGAGACTTGGCAAATAAAGGAAAGTTATTCAAATAATTATGGGGCATTGGGAACTGCAAAGAGGAACAAGTTATAATCCTAAATCTAGAGGATCAGAAACTAGTAGGAAAGGTTAATGAAAAAATTAAAATAAAGGCAACAGCAAAAGCACATGCAAGCTACACAAGAACCCCAGAAGCAGGAATAATTAACTTGGTTAGTATCGGGGAGGTGGATGGCAGAACTTCCTGGCAGAAGAGAGATATGGATTGACTGTATGTCTGTGTGTGTGCGTGTCTATGTGTGCAAATATATGTGCGGACAAACCATTCCTAAGGCACATGTGAATATATGGATTATTTTCAGAGTCTCAGTTTGGAATACTCTAGCCGTAAATCCTGTCTACTACAGAATACTGAAAGCTGCCCATAGAGTAACAATCTCATTTTACGGATGAGGTGGGGGAAATGAAAAAACAAAACAAATAATAAGAATTTTCTCAAAAGCAGACACACAGGCCTAGAACTCAACCCACAAAACCACTACAGGTTCCAAACTCCTGGCCAAAGCCTAAGGCTTCCTGGCACAAACAGTATAACTGCCATTAAAGACACTAGGCAAGAAGTGCTAACTTGAATTTTTGACTTAATGAAACATTTTAAACAAGTCTCACATTTTCTATCTTATTTTTAAAAACTATCTCTGTTTCTTCATAAATTTTTTTTTAAATTATACGATCTATTTGTGATTTATACAGCAGTAACATGTGATGCATTTAAACGTACTACTTTTGTTTTTCAGTTGTATTATTACTATTACCCACAATCAGTCAGGAGCACCTGATTTGTGGTAGTGAAACTAGTGTCTGGTATGTGGCAGTATGTGCACAGTCTACTCCAGGGCTGCCAATGTTTAGGGTAAGTATGGCTATGTCAGTATCACAAATACATCTCAAGACACTAAGGCTATCCTACAATTAAGGCTTTTCATATATTTAAAGCACTATACACCTAAGTTTCTCAGAAACCCACTGGCACATGGTAGGTGCATGATTTCTGCAAATGAAAATGGCCATCTCAGATGAGGAGGAGACTACTGAGTAACTTGGCCTTCTGAGAGTCTTCTACTTGGACCAACAGGTCACACCAGCACCTAAGAACATTCACTGCAAGGACTCTCATAAGGATTGAGGGGTGGGGCACTTACCACTGCCTCCACTTTAAAGGGGAAACTGAGGTTCAAGATCCAAATGACCCCAAGGTCAGCTATTACATACAAAGCAGGGATCTATGCCTTTAACCTAGGTGTCTTACATTGCGTCAGGTAGCTCAAGTATTAATATTTAACATACTCTGCCTTTTGGCAACTTCAGAACAGTATGTCAAACTGTTAAAGACTCAACATTATCTTAAATTCTTAAACAACTGAATCAGCATTTTGAGAATGTGGGATTGTGCTGATCGTCTGAAATTTAATCTGTGTACTTCTAAAATAAAGGAAATCTTGTTAAAATCCCTAAAGAACTTACAAGTTAACTCTAGATCTAAAGGAAAAAAATAGTATCAGAGAGTAGCCCAACACAAAAGCAGACTAGGCCCTACCTGTCTCCTTTCTACCGAAGCTTTAGGGAACCTTTAAGTGAGGCCTCCTCTAGCAGAGACCTTCAGGGAAAAGGAAACCCTGTGAAGAGTAAGGTACTCTCCGAGGCTCACCTGATTAGCTTCAAGGATGAGAATGGACCCATTCAAAATATTAAATGTGCTTACGTTCCACTCCCAATGTCTCTTAAAATCTACACCGAATGCATGATCTTTTGGGCAGGGAAATACTGAGGTTATACATCAGTGAAGAGCACTAGGACAACGAGGCATTTCCTTCACTTTCCTCTAGAGGATGTGGTCCACCTCAGTCACAGAAGCAAAATCTGAGTCTCAGAAGCAAAATTAAGCTAGTAATCTCCATCCCCTTCCCCAAAAAGCCCAAGGATCCAGACAGACAAGGCAGGCCCACAGCACGAGCTCTCGCTAAATATATGTGGAAGAAAAAGAGGAAGAAGGGGAAACAGGGGTTAGTGAGGGGACCCTGTGGGATGGACGGCAGTGTGGTGCACAGCCATACAGTGCTTCTCTCCCCAAACCGGATTCTAGACAACGTCCCTTGCTGTCGTTCTGGACGGTGTAGGTCTGGCCTGTGTTTTTATACTGCCTCCACCGCGGAAGTGCATTTAGAGGAGCCAGCCCCGCACCACCCACCCCAGGTTCTAAGATCTCCACAGGCGGTGTGAACATTCACATCACCTGTCTGGCCAAAGTCAGCAACTGAAAGAGGATAGAATCACCTCAGCAAGTTGGCTTTTCTGTTCTGCTAGAGCACTCCACGTGGCAGCAGCCACACCCCCAGAATGCCGCCTCTACAAAGGAATTTTCCCACAGAAAACAAAAACAGAAACAAAACCCAAAGGGGGAAGGGTACAAAACAATAATCTATTTGGTAATTTAGAATCTTTTTAAAAAATAGTTCCATTTATTTTTAAATTAACGTTGAATATAAAGTATGATTAAGTAAATAAAAATGTCTAGCCGGGTGTGGTGGCTCACGCCTGTAATCCCAGCATGCTGAGAGGCCAAGGTGGGCGGATCAAGAGTTCAGGAGATCGAGACCATCCTGGCTAACACGGTGAAACCCCGTATCTACTAAAAATACAAAAAATTAGCCGGGCGTGGTGGCAGGTGCCTGTAGTCCCAGCTACTCGCGAGGCTGAGGCAGGAGAATGGCGTAAACCCGGGAGGCGGAGCTTGCAGTGAGTCAAGATCACGCCACTGCACTCCAGCCTGGGGGACAGAGCGAGACTTCGCCTTTTTCTTTCTCAGAAGAAAAAAAAAAAATCCTAAGCATTTCTTTCCAATGCCATGTATTTTCCTTTTCTTTTCTTTTGTTTTTTTTAGACAAAGTCTTGCTGGGTTGCCCAGGCTGGAATGCAGTGGCACGATCTTGGCTCACTGTAAACTCTGCCTCCCAGGTTCATGTGATTCTTGTGCTTCAGTCTCTCAAGTAGCTGGGATTACACGTGAATGCCATCAGGCCTGGTTAATTTTTGTATTTTTAGTAGAGATGGGGTTTCACCATGTTGGCCTGGCTGGTCTCAAACTCCTGGCCTCAAGTGATCCACCCACCTTGGCCTCCTGAAGTGCTGGGATTACAGACATGAGCCACCGCATGCCCAGCCTAATGCTATATATTTTCAACAAAGGCTGAAAAACGGCATGAGTGGAATAAGCAAGCAGGGAGACAGCAGACGACAGGCAGAGAGGAGGGGAGAGGCTGGAGTGGAAGGAGCAGCACAACAGCCAAAGAGAAGGGAGAGACACCTGCTGCTGGAACTAAGAGCAAGGTAAGGAAAGGGCCTGGAGAGCAGGAGGGGAGGGGTGCAGACTCAGGGGAGCTAGAGGCCAAGGGAGGCTGGGTGGAAGGCCAGCCTGATACAGCCTCCTGGGAGGGTAACTTAGCAATTATCAACCAAGATTTCACAGAGAGGCCACTGCCCATATATATTTACCTTGTAAATTACTGTTCCACTTTCTGTCCTTTCTTCTAATGAAGTATCATTCTTATCAGTTTGTATGAGATGACGTAATAAAAATGACTCTGGTTGAGAAATAGCATTGAACTGGGAGGAGAGTTCAATGCTACTTCTCCAGTCCAGACTTGTACAACTTTTGAATTGCCTGGTAACTCACAGGTGAGACAGCCAGCTCCTCTACTACCCTCACACTAAAGAAGTGGTACTTTTCGTTAATTTAGGTAAAATCTGCAGTTCTTAAGGGTTCAGAGTTCAAGGAGTTTCCACAATGATATACACAGTGGAGCCACCCCCACAAAGCAAAATGTAGAACATTCCCATCACCTCAGAAAAGTCCCCTCAGACCCTCTTCCAATCATTCTCCCCCACCTCAGCAGATTCTGCACCACCACCCCCAGCACCACCCCTTTTGGCTGCAGAGGTGGTGGCCAGACGTCTTATCCTGGAGGCTGGTCTGGAAAACATCAGTTTCTAGGAGTTGATTTCTCAGCCCTGTGTATGGAAGAGCGCAGAGTGGCCACCACATTTACCAATTTTAAACTTAAACGCAAACTCATTTTATATATTTAAATGTATAAATATTTTATAAATGCTAATGGGTACTGGATCTCTTAAAAAATCATCATTGTTCTATGAAGATTAGGACTCCAGTCCCGCCCACGTATCGGGTATACACAGAGCACCAGAATGCATCTCAACAGTCGGTAAGCAATGACCTCCCCCGCGGGTTTTCCTTCTCACTCACCTGGCTGTTTGGATCTCCAAGTAAGTTGCATATATGTGGCACAATCTTGCTTAGTGTTAAAGTCTGCGCTCCAGAGCTGAAAACAAAAGGAGTGCTTTCTTGTTAGTGAGAACTGAAGAAAGACAGACGCCTGTCTGCCCACACCTGCCCTTCCCGTGTCTGCCCACACCTGCCCTTCCCGTGTCTCCCCAATCCCCACCACCACCTCATACCAAGTCTCTCTCCATCCCATCCACACTGGCTCCAAAGTAAATGTGTCCGATGGCCCCTTTGCACAGAGTTCAAAACCTAGGGTGGCTTCTCCCAGATGAGTCTTCCTCCTGTCCCTCAGGGCTCTGGCCAATCCGGCCCTACCCCTTTAAGGCTGGGCCAGAGCACCCCCGGTCCCGCTTGCCTCACAGGTGCTGCCTCTGCAGTACTGTTCTGTCACTGTAAGCCAACTACGAGTCACTGGAGGGACTTTGTTTAACTCTCCCATGTGCTGTGGCAGAGCCCTCTGCTACGGTAGACAGTCAGGCAATCCCGCTGGATGAAAAGACTGCAATCAAATCAGAGCAACTGCCTACTGGGGCACATCTGAGCCAAGTACTACTCTACTGGGGCACATTTGAGTTACAATTTTCACCATCACCATCCCTGCCATGACAAATGGCCTTTGTGAATAAAAATCTCTTGGTTAACCTGCCTACTACCTTACCATAAATTCCTAGAACTGGAGCTACTGTGATCAAAGGCTAGAGGTTTTTTTTTGTTTTTGTTTTTGTTTTTAAAGCTTCAGCTACTTATGGCCAAATTTAATGGCACTGAAAAAGCTAACATTTTAAGATGGAAAAAATGTACAAGTAATGTAAACATTACAATCTCAATTTTGTTTTTAAAAATAACATAACTTTACAGGTTAGGATAAAATGATTATCTGAAGGTAACAGAATTACAGTAATCTTTATTTTTTCCTTGTGTAAATTTTTATGATATATACAGTATTATTTTCATAACCAGAAAAAAAGTCTTGAAATTTATAATTTTAAAAAAGCCTCTCCTAAAAATAAGTACATGAAAAAAATGTTCACCATCAACAGCCATTAGATAAACACAAATTAAAACCACAATGAGGTATTACTACACACATATAAAAATGGCTAAAATAAAAAAGTGACAACATCCAATGGCTAGCAAGGGTATGTAGAAACCAGATCATTCGGATGTTGCTAGTAGGAACGTAAAACAGTGTGGACAACTCTGGGGAAAAAACTGGCAGTACCTTTTAAACTAAAAATGAACTTACCAAATGACCCAGCAAGTGTACTCTTGGGCACTGATCCAAGAGACATGGAAACTTATGTTCGTGTAGAAACTTGTACATGCATGTTCACAGCAGCTTCATTTATAAAAGCCAAAAACTGGAAATCACCCAAATGTTCCTCAACAGGTGAACAGTTTAACCAGCTGTGATACATCTATACCAAGGAATTCTATTTAGCAATAAAATGAACTATCAATGTGATGTGTAACCTCAAGGGTATCATGCAGAGTGAAAAAAAGATAAAACTCAAAAGGTTACATATTGTATAATTCCATTTACATAACACTCTTGAAATGACACAATCATAGGCAGGGAGAGCAGATTCGTGCAAATTCAAACAGATTCACGGTTGCCAGGGGTCAGGATGTAGCTACACATGGCAGCATGAGGGAGCCCTGCAGTGACTGTACAGTTACATATACACACAAATGCACATGTGTTTACCTGAGACGCTTGCACAAGTTCTAGGGATTGTATCAATCTCAATGTTCTGGGAGTGATGCTGTACTATAGTTATTCAAGGTGCTAACACTGGGCAAGGGTGGGTAAAGGGGGTGTGAGACCTCATACTACACTTCTTTGCAACTTCCTGTAAATCTGTAATTATTTCTAAGTAAAAAGTTAAAAAAAATTCAGCCAAGTAAAAATGTCAGGCTCATCCCAGACTTACGCATTGAGTGTTGCTATAAGGCAGAGACAGATGCCTTCTCGAGTACGGAAATTCTTGTGTTTGAAGCCTCCGAGCATTCTGTCCCATACGTACTGTAGATGACAAAGAACAGGTGAGGAAAGGAGAAGACTGCTGCAGCTGTCACTTAGTAAGGGAGCAACAGAAGGCAAGCCTCTTAACGGGTGCCAAATTAGTCCCATCCTTTACCAACACATTTAATCCTCTCAAGAGCATACTGGAAAATGATGACATCTATCATGTTACCAAGTATACTAAATTATAATTTTTAAAACACATTCATTTACACAAGCATTTAATTCTCCCAAGAACCCTAAAAGGGAGGTACAACTGTCCTCATTTTATGGGTGAGGAAAGCCAGGCCAAAAGAGCCAGTGAGTTGCCAAAGATCACACACTCACACTGCCCTCTGCTTTTTCTCATCACCCCCCAATAAAGGACAGTGGAAGCTGGGAAGGCAAGGCTGTTTCGGTCCATCCCAGCAGCCCCAATTAACCAGAAGACAGGGGCCAGGGCTCCAGCCAGGCCTCCTGACTCCCAGACACCACGGCTTCCTCTTTTCAGACAACTGGAGAGTCGGTTACATAAATGAGCTGAAGGGTCTAATGGATTAAAACTAAGTATATTAGATTCACTAATTTATTCAACACCCCCATGTTAAATCCACTATTCATCTCATACTTTTGTGACTTACTTATTTAACTATCTTGCATGAGTAAACAGATTGAATGCTGTGAAAATTTTTATCTGTAATACATCAGCTTAAGTCTATGGAGTCACACCGTTTGTGCAAGCACACACACACACCCTCGCAACTGCATGCACGCACACTGGCCAGCTGACCTCAAAACACATCTCTTGCCCCTACCTGGGGATTAGCAGCTTGATCCATGATCTTTAGCAGCAGAGTTTGGTCCTGCTCCCTCACAGAGTCTTTAGCATCTCCTAGTCTGTCTATTAGACTTGGCAGCACTGAAAATCAAAACGGAAACTGATCAAATGAAACCCTATTTGGGGGTCTGCGGTCACCAAGTACTGCTATTTCAATTACGTGGGAAGACAAACCCCTGACCCAAATGATGTAGCTCCTCCTAAAACCACTCATCTTTGCTCACAGCTCTACTCTCCTTGCTGAAATCCATGAGAGTCACCAGAAGAGTCTGCAAAATCCTTTGCATGGAAAGATATACTATTTGTCTTCCTCCTTACCCCACGTTCCTCCAGCCAGTTCCAAACGTATTTGTAAGCTGATAAAAATTGAAGACCTTGATAGGAAGAGTCAATAGAAAGGAAAATTTAGGTAAAAGACAAGGAGAGGGGCTCCAGCATATGTGTTTGGGGGTGGAAGGGGTAGGCACTTATGAATAATCTTACACTTCATCAACATTGTGTATTTTTAGTTTTACATCACACCCAAACACACATGAGACAGAGCCCAGCTCTCCATCTTCCCCCACCTACCCAGTGTGGACCCTCCCACCAGTGCTCCAAGTGCACCTATAAACCAGAGATCAGCTTATTTTAAGAGCTTGCAAACCTCTGTAACAAGAGCTATCCCTGAATAATTCAGCTAATTTAGGAGGAAAATGGAACCCTATTAAAATATCAAATTTCTAAAAGTAAAGGTTTTTTAAAAAAAATTTGTAAACAGTCGGTGCTAGAATGGGAAAATAGCTCACGACCTTTTCAGAAGGAGCATATTGGTCAGAAACTTAACAGAAAACAATACATGTATACCAATGTAAAATAGAGAAATTCCATAAGGAAATGGTTGCATAGAGCTGCTTAGTGTTTATACTGCCCCCATGAAACACCGGAGGTCAGGAATTTAGAGGTATTTAAATCTATGAAATGTGTGGGGTTTGTTCCATTTTGCTGACACATCGTTTTTCCTTCAGAATAACAGTGAACGTTTACTATACACTTGTAATGACATTTACAATCAAGGTGAAAATAGTAATGCCAACCATAGTCATCTGGGGAAAAATACAACTGGCTTGGTTTTACAGGATTTCTCAAAGAAAACCGCCTCTCATTAAAGGGGACCGCGGTCAGGGTCAAATATGACTTGGTTGGCACAAAGGGTGACAGCTAATTTAGCATAAGAAATAAAAATGGCACTAATATTTCATATTAGAACACGTATTACTAATTTCCGTATGAGAACACAGTGAAGCCAGTACAAGGTATGGGGAAGGGGAAGGGCCAGAGGCCAGGAAGCCCAGCGGGAAGGGAAGGCAGCCGGGCGGCCGGCCGGGGCTGCGGGGGCTACGGGGGCTGCGGGGGAGGGCGGGGACGGACTGACTGGGAGGAGCGGAAGGGAGGCGGAGGGGGCTGGAGGGGAGGCAGGGTGGCGGCCGGGAGGGTTTGGGAGCAGCTAAGTGGAGAAGCCGGGAGACCGAGGGAAGGCTGGGGGTCTGAAGGGGCCGGGTCCGCTCCATAAGTGCCGCAGCTCACCTGTGCCGATCTGCGCCTTGAACCGATCCTGCAGCCGGGTCACCAGGGCGGACAGGATGTCCATGCCCAGCAGAACCACCTGCAGCGGGAAACACCGGGAGCCCGTTAGCGGCCGGCCTGCGGGGCAGCGCTCCCGCCCACCCGCTCCGGGGACGCCTCGACATTTCTGGCCCAGACGCAGTCCGAGAGTCCAGAGCGCGCATGCCGACTGGAGGACCAAAGAGATTAGCACGAGGAAGGATGATCTTCCACAAAAACAGCTGTGTACAGCTATAATGGAAAATACTCGGTGAGGAGAAACGAAATAAAAGGCAGTACAGCGTAGCCAAACCCAGGTTAGCCGCCCGTGGAGTTCAAGAGAGCGCCGTGGCCCCCGCCCCCTCCAGCCCCGCCCCGGCGAGAAAACGTATGCAAATTTTCGAGCGGCCGACGCGCGGTCTTCTGGGTAAAACCGAGCCGCCGCTTTTGCGACCCTTCAGGAGCCTCAGAAAACAAAGAATTGGTGGTGTCGTCGAAAGCCGTGGAGGCTGGAGGTAAGCTAGCTACCAGACCGACTAGGGCAGGACTCACAAATTAATCACCACAACCCAATCAGGTATTGGCGCTTCCTGCTTGCAGCGCACGCATTTTTCTCCGCAACCATCCTTTTCTTGGGGTTGCGCTACTGTCCAATGAGCGCATAGTGAGGGCAGTACTGCTAACGCTTAAACAACACACCCGCATCAACTAAAGCTTTGCTTTACCTTGGTGCAATTTTTGGAAAAATGAAAAACCGCTTTTCCCAGACTTGTGAGTTCAAAGAGTAATACATTGCAAATAAGCTACACTCTTGTAGTTGTGCGTTAAACCAGTAGGTGGTGCACAATATACATGATTTCATTTTGTCACCAAAACTCTTTCAGTTTTTGCTGTGCAAACGGGGAGGGGTTTCCACGTAACTTTACCCCGGTCATCTACTTCGACTGTCATGTAACTCCAGCTTTACGCTGAGCCAGCCTAGTAGTCTAGATCAAGTTTCAATAGGAGGCGAAGTTTCAGTAGGCCTTTGTACCACATAAAATGGAATCCCAGCACTTTGGGAGACCGAAGCGGGCGGATTACGAGGTCAGGAGATCGAGACTATCCTGGTCAACATGGTGAAACAAACCCCTTCTCTACTAAAAATACAAAATTAGCCGGGCCTGCTGGCGCACGCCTGTAGTCCCCGCTACTCGGGAGGCTGAGGCTGGAGAATCGCTTGAACTTGGGAGGCGAAGGTTGCAATAGCCTGGCGACAGAGCGAGACTCGGTATCAAAAAAAAAAAAAAAAAGTTAAATAGTGAGCTTTCTGTGGAATGGTCCAATAGCCAGAGTAAACCCTTCCTCTGTAGGAAGCAGTTTTGCACTGTGAGACTTCATTAAACACGCTTCCAACACAAAGCCGAGCACTGCCCAGTGTTCACACAACAACCAAACAGGACGGGGCAACAGTTAGGATTTCTTGCATGCAGCCTGTGCCTGCGTCTGGCGGCTGATAAAAGCAAAAACTGCAGACTCTTCTATTCAGCTTTGAAATCCACTGCTTCGAAACTGAAGGAATCCAAATTGGCCCAATAATCCCCACAACGTATAAAATGTTCTTGCAAGAAACTGGCTACTTGACAATACTGAAGAAAACAATTTTTAAAACTTTTATAGAGAGAACAATTTATAAACAGATTTTTCTTTTAATAATATAATAATGGTATAAACACTTTAAAATAATGACTCTACTTTCGAGCTAAAAAGGATTAGGTTTCACACTATGACTTCCTTCCAAAGAGTACAGTATGAAGTGGGGGAGTAACTATCCAGCGGAGAAAACTGACAGATGCAACCTCAGCCAGACAGTGGAGGTCAACATCAAGTACACTTGGTATGATGTCATGAAAACGGCATTTTGCCTTTGTGATAGTCCTTCCCAAAACCCTTAAGCCCAGTCTAAGCATGAGGAAAACATCAGAGAAATTCTGATAGAGGAGCATCCTACAAAACACCTGACCAGTACCCCCTCAAAACAGTCAAGATCATCAAAAACAAGAACTCTGAGAACCTGTCTCGGCAACAGGAGCCGAGGGAAACATAACAACTAAATGCAATGAGGTATCCTGGAAGAGAGTCTGAAACACAAAGATGACATTTTTCCTTAGGTAGAAACTAAGGAAATATGAATAAAGCATGAAATCTAGTTAATAATAATACATCGATACTGGTTCATTGATTGTCATAAACCACACTAATGTTAGATATTACAATGAGACGATATTACCTTTGCAATTTTTCTGTAAAAAAGTAGTTTATTTTTAAAAAAGAACAGCCCATCATGGAAGTGAGTTATTTAGCTTTTGTCTGGTGAAATCTTAAGCTTATCTGCACAGCTGCATTACTGGTTGCGAGTAGGGGTATTATTCATGACAGAAACATCCCTTCATACATCGCTCAAGGCTAAGGTGAAGAGGACTGTTGTTTATTTGGGGGAAGGCTGACATCAGCTTTTCCAGGACGGCAGTTTACTTGGTAGGTCGGAGCAGAGAAGGCCTCGCGAGGCCCCAGACAGTCAAGTTTCAATGCCTTGCCCAGATGAACTGGGGAGCGTGGAAACTCCCAAAGAAGACTGAGTGAGTAGATGCACCTGAGTCCCCAGAGAAACAGAACAGGAGAGGTCCAGGGCGCCAGCCAGGAGGACAAAAGGCAGTTCCAGGTACTTTCACAGCCCTTCTCCTGGGCTTCCATTTCCCTACTGAAGAACGGGATACATGAAAAAGTCCTTGCCCAGAAGACCACTCTGATAATTAACTGTAAAAACCTCTTTGTGCCTAAACCTCCTCATCTGTAAAACAGAGACAGTAGTAACAGCTACCTCGTGGGTTGTTGTGAGGATTAAATAAAGCGTGTATGTAAACTGTGCCTGGCATGTGGTAAGGGTACTTTCTTTTTTTTCCTGTTTCTGCTTTCTTCAGCCCTTAGGTCTATAAAACCAACTTCTTCTCCATGGCTCAACGGAATACACAATTATCTTTCATGGAAATGAGGTGTTACCTGATTCTAAAATCACAAATAAAAGTCATTCAAAATCTTTAAAGTTTTGTAATTTTTTTCTTCCAACACCATTAGCTCTGCGTGACCCTTGAGCACTGCCTCCGACATTTTACTTAATTATCTACGTTTGTGCTTGTTTCCCCAGCTACACTCCTTGAATGTAAGGAACACTACCATCTTGCATTTCCTCAGAATTCCCATAATAAATAGCACAGCGCTGGGTACAAGGTAGGTGATTGATAAACCCTACTGTATTGATGTGAAGGAGACTGGAATAGATGAGCTCTCAAGGTCCAACATCTTCTTTATCCTAAAATCCTTTAAAAGACCCTTTTGTAAAAGAGAGAAGAGGGCTGACCAGGTCACTGGGACCAATACTCCTGCCGAGCACAACTAAGAATGCTGGATATAAAAGAACATCTGCAGCATCAGAGAACTAAGAAGGCACAGAAGAACTTCCAGGTCAAGAAACACAGACAACTAAAATCCACAGACATGAGCCTGCAACAGCTGGTTCTCTTTGCCCTGGGGCCATGTATATACTGGGAAAGGGTGCAGAGAATCACTTTAATAACCTTGTGGGTCATCTAGGAGGGCAAAGGTTACATTCCAAAGCCCTCCAAAGTTGGTGGCCTAGTTAACCCCCACCACGTGTGCTGGAAACCCAAATGGCTAGACTTTAGGAGGAGAGTGAGTTGGAAATAAAACAGCCTTCACAGCGACTGCAGCCCAGTTTCCAAGCACCTGGGTGGCCCGGAAAAAAATTCTAATCCCTGACATCAGATTAAAGTGAGTTTAGACTGTTTGTGTCCAAAAGCCCTTAGCAGATAAAAACACATGTCATTTCTGGATAAAGAAAACATCATCTTAATAATCTAGTCCTTGGTTTATTCCTGTAACAATTTTTCTTTTGTTGCTGTTGTTGTTTGTTTTTTTTCTGACGGAGTCTCGCTGTGTCGCCCAGGCTGGAGTGCAATGGTGCGATCTCTGCTCACTGCAACCTCTGCCTCCTGGGTTCAAGAGATTCTCATGCTTCAGCCTCCCGAGTAGCTGGGATGTGTTATCAGCCCGGCTAATTTCTGTATTTTTAGTAGAGATGGGGTTTTATCACATTGGCCAGACTAGTCTCGAACTCCTGACCTCAAGCGATCTGCCTGCCTCGGCTCCCAAAGTGCTGGGATTACTGGCGTGAGCCACTGCGCCTGGCCTATTCCTGTAACAATTTTTCAAAGAGAACATGTGAAACACAACCAAAGATAACCAGGCACACAGGACAAAATAAATGAAAACTAGCAGAAACAAAGACCAACCTGAACTCTGGATGCCTGGATAGGAGAATAATTACAAACAGACTTCAAAATAACAAGTCAGGCGGGGTGTGGTGTCTCACACCTGTAATCCCAGAACTTTGGGAGGCTGAGGCAGGCGGATTGTCTGAGCTCAGGAGTTGGAGACTAGCCTGGGCAACATGGCGAAATGCCATCTCTACGAAAAAATACAAAAACTAGCTGGGCGTGGTGGCGGGCGCCTGTGGTCCCAGCCGCTCTGCTTGGGAGGCTGAGGTGGGAGGATCACTTGAGCCTGGGAGGCGGAAGTTGCAGCAAGTGGAGATCGTGCCACTGCACTCCAGCCTAGGCGACAGAGACACCTCATCTCAATAAATAAATTAATTAAATTAAATAACAAGCCTTATTATGTCTAAGACACATGATTGAAGTTTTGGGTAGAGAAATGACAACTTTTAAAGTTACACAGATTAAACAAATAATACAAGAGAAAGTTAAATACTCAACGAATGGGCTCTTTTTCCTAAGTGCACTGTAAATACATGAAGAGAACTAAACAGGAAACTAAGTCTGCAGAAAAAATCCAGAATAAAGTAAAGAAAGGCAAAAAGATGGAAAATTCAAAAGAACAGGGAAGAGAGAATAGAGAGAAAATGTTAAGTTTAAATGGAATTCAAAAAAAGAAATGACACAGTAGGTATAAAGCAATGGCTGACATTCATTAGAATTTTATTTT